CGCGCGCCCTGAGAGCGCGCAGTCCCGTGTCCCCAGCCCCGGCGCGTCCTCGGGCACAGGATGGGGGGCTGAACGCCTGGTGTTTGCGGTCCTCGGGTGCCCCCGCGTGCCCCCGGCCCCAGCCCACCTCACGGCGTCCGCCAGGTGCGCCCAGCACACGTAGGTGGTGCCGCCCAGGTACCGCAGCATGTCCAGCTGGCTGGTGGGGCTGGCCCTGACCAGGTAGGTGCTCGACAGCGCCGTGTTGGCGTAGACGGCTGAAACGCACAGCGCGAAGGGGGGGAGCGGCTGCAGGGGTCCCCCGGCAGTCGCGGGCAGGGGACCCCGTTCTCGCCCCGGGCGCTGGGAGCGCGCGGCTGGGGCTTGTCCTGCGGCAGGATCGGGGGGCGAGCGCAGCTGGAGGAGCGGACAGCCCAGCGCGCACTGTGACCCCGGGGGGCGACCGGCGAGTTTAGTCCACACGGGGGCGCTCTGAGGCCTGGCCAGCAGGGGCGCGGAGGAGGACGCGCTGGGGAAGAGAAGGTGGTGGGCGCAGGTGGACAGAGAGTGGACAGAGGAGCAGGGAGGCAAATGCCGAGAGCTCGCCAGTGAGCAGGTGGATGGTGCCGCGCCTGCTCCCCGCTGGCGGCCGTGTTTGAGGGTCCCCAGCCCCCCGCGCCTCACCCTGCCCGGCCCGCGTCTCCACCGCCAGCAGCCGCAGCGTCACGCAAGCGTCCAGCAGTAACCCGGTCCCGCTGCAGCTGGTGCCCAACCCGGCGGCCACCGCGGCGGCGGTCAGGGGCTCAGGGGCCTGAGCCAGAAGGTCAAACACCCCCAGGTCACAGGCGGCGAAGAGAACCTCGGGGAAGGCAGAGGCGAAAGGGCGGGTTTCAGATCCGGGGAGCCCCGCACTATACAGCCCAGGTGGCCGGAGAGCCGGCAGTTGCATTTCTGGGTGGACACCCCACGAATGGCCGGCGGGGGGGCCGAAGACGTGTTTGCACAAAGAAATCCAGCCCCTTGGCAAGGTGGAAACAGCACAGCCACACCGGGGAAACAGAACAGCCCGTGGTGGAGTACTACGCGGCCCTGAAAAAGGAGG